CTTTGGCCACTGCCTCGTTTGACTTGCAGCCCTGATTTATCCCACTACCTGTTTGGCAAAGAAGGCCTGGACTGTATCACAGTGCTGACGGTCTGTGAGCAGTGGGAGAAGTGGATTTAGCTGTTTCTGTCTTACTTAAATCGCTTAGATATGATAAAGCTTTTTGCATGTAACCGATTTTGTGTGCTTTCTTAGACTTATTTCTAAGTAGGAAATGGAAATTGGTGAGCTATAAAGACAGAGTGCACCATTTAAGGGGAGAAGGTTTTCTTTTTATTAGTTTCCTTTTTGCTCGATATAAGTGGAAGCAATGCTTTGTTTTCAAGTCTTCTGATCCTGTATTTACTTTCTTATTTCTGATGTACTAAATGCTGGCTTCACTTCTGAGTGATTGCTGTTTACCTTGTCAAACAGCTCCAATATTAACTTGTAGTTTTCCTGTAGGTAACTGCAATAGAACCCATAAGCAATGACGGAGGAGCCAGTGTGAGCACTCGGCACCTACACCAGAGTCTGCGATGGCTTTTTGGAGTGGCAGCAGTGGCTACAGATGTTGGTCATGTACTTCTGGTTGATCTTTGTTTGGATGATTTATCTTGCAGTCAGAATGAAGTAGAAGCATCAGGTAAGCCTGCAGTTTTTAAACTTGAATTTAGAAGTAAGAAAATTTGTGTCTTGCAAAAAACCAGCTTTGCGTCCCACTCTGAAGATACCAGAGTGCAGACTCACTACTGACATTACTGACATTTCTGCCTACAGATTGCAGATGGCAGTTTGACATCCTATGGTCCTGACCTGATCAAAAATAGGAGTGCCTTAATACTCCTCCTGGTGTTGTAAATACCTCTTCCCACCCAGATCCCTTTGTCACTGTGATACTTGCCAGTGGGATACAGGAATTTTACCATTTGAGTCAGTGCACCTGCCTGAAAGAAGGTTATGTAAGAAGTACCACATATCTTGGGAGTGTTCTCCCTTTTCCATTAATGGACTTGGGGCAAACTTTAGGCTTGCATTTTAAGATAAACCCAACCTATCAAAAATCCTACATTTGGATGAATGAACCCTGTAAGTTGTGTATTCGGATTGCACAGACTGTTTTGGCTATTTCAAAAGTGGCTTCAGGTGTTGATGTCCCTTCAGGTAGTTTCATCTGAGGCCCATACTCCTGATTTATAGAGTCCAAGAAGAATTTCCCTACAAAAGTTACACTTGTACCCAGCTTTGAAATAGGAGTGAGAGTACCTGTCCAATGGCAGGCTTCTTCTGTTCTTTGAATAGATACAGAAACAAAAACAGCAAAAAAGGTTTTGCAGAAATGGGTATTTTGCCTGGGATGGTAGAATTAGTTTATACATGTTGTCACGTGAGTCTAAAATGCAACTGAAATGGCATAACACGCTCATTTATTGCCTGCTTTTATGTATGTAGATCTAGAAGTTGTCACTAGAATTCCTGCTGAAGTTCCACAAAGAAGAGAAGCTGTGACCAGAGAAGGGAGGCATCTCTGTTTTCAATTACGAAGTCCTTCAGGAATAGCAGTGTCAACCCTGAGCTACATAAGCAGAAGCAATCAGCTCATTGTGGGTTTTTCCGATGGCTACCTGTCATTATGGAACATGAAAACATTGAAGAGGGAGTAAGTAGTCCTTTCCACTTGGCCATGGTTGGAGGTGCAGTGGTCTCAATGTTTTGCTTCCAGAAGTCATGCAGTAGGGATGTGATAGAGCTGATTTTTTTAAAGTCTCTGTTCAAACCAGTAGTATTTAGTTAAAACCAGGTAGTGTGTATTTCGATGAAACAGGTTTTAAAAAGTGTTTTTCAGAATGAGTTACTGCAATTAGGGCATACACTGAAAGGCTTCAGTATGTGAATAATGTGATTTTGGTGATAATATTCTTTAAAGTGCGCATGATGAAGCTAGCGAAACATGATGATTCAGTAGCTGATCTGTGCCTGAAAACATGTTCTTTCCTACATTTCAGCCTTGATGGAAATAGGTCATTGACACATTCCAAGAAAAGGACGCATGTGAATGAAAGTTTTTTTGGAAGACTTGGAGATCAGAATGAGGGAGAACTAAATTTATAAGCAGTAGAAAAATTAAGAGATTATTTTAAATCTTGTAGTTGAAATAATGGACCCAATTCAGATAGGGCTTTACTTAAGCAAATCTACAGTGACTCACCAGAAATTACTGAATGCATAAATGGACAGCGGAGGCATAATTAGGTGGCTAGAAGAAACTGTGAAGGTACAATTCAGAATTCGTGAAGAAAAATATTTAAGAAGTAGTCGCTTGTCACTTGTCAGTTGTTCAAGATGGAAGTATGACCTTCTGTACTTTAAGGGTAAACATGTAAGGTACTTTTTTCTCAGATGCTTCTATCCTTCTACGAACAGGGCCAGCAAGCTCACCTTTCTTCGTTATCTTTTTTCTTTTTTTTTTTTTTTATACTCTAGGCACTACTCTCAGCTTGAAGGAGGAAGAATTCCTATCTATTCCGTTACTTTTCAAGAGCCTGAGAATGATCCTCGCAATTGTTGCTACTTGTGGGCTGTTCAGTCTACACAGCAAAGGTGAATAAAAAATTGCCATAAGCCACTTTTTTTTAAAATATTTGTTTACAGACACTCGATATCTGCATATATGTTTGGTTTATTTAGCTGTGCAGGAGATTCAGGTATGAAAGGTGTTCAGCTTACAGTGCAGTTTTCTTCAGGATTTTACACTCCTAAAGAGGGATCTAGTCATTCCTATGTTGTGAAAGAAGGCAAAGCAACAGTGATTATATATTTGTGCTTTCAGTCTTAAATGATTTCCCTTGTTTCTTGATGACTTCTTCAGGATTTGTTTGATATTCCCACCATGACATTAAATTCCATGTAAAATGGTTTAGGCTGCAGATGCAGAGCAGTAAACATCATCAGCAAGCTACTTAATCTGCCCAGCTGTTCAGAGAGTGGCAGTCTTCTTAAATTTGACTTCAGAGCAGTTTTGATGGAGAATGCTTTACTGTTAAGAGTTATTACCAGCAATTTTTTTTGTCCATACAACATATTAAAACTTCCCAAGGGTATAGTTAGCATTTGCTCCTGAAGCTGTTAGTGTCAAAATTTCCTCAATTTTTAGCAGTTAAATGTGACCAATTATCAAGTCTTGGGAAGTAGTGTTTTTCTTTTCAGCAAGATCATGCTATTGAGTAAGTTTCAACCTAGATCTAATAAAATGATAATGAGGACTGTAAAGCAGCTTTGTAATCAAATTTCTTAATTTATACCTTTTTCAGTGAAGGTGATGTTGTGAGTTTACATCTGTTGCAGTTAGCATTTGGTGACAGGAAACGTCTGGCATCTGGACAAGTCTTGTATGAGGTAAGACATACCTGTGTGTGAGAAGATGAAAATAGTAATTTTCCCTGAGCATCAGTTAAGTTGGTCAGGCTAATATTTACCATGAAAGATCAGAGAGGACTAAAGAAACGAACGTCTTTTGGTGAATCTTCTCGGACATGGTCTTACTTCATACTTTTCAGAACAATTCCTAGAGCTGTGTAATCATAGAATTTTTTTGGTTGCAAGGCCTTAAAGATATCTAATTCCACCCCCCGCCATGGTTATGAATGCCACTTGCTAGATCAGGTCTCTTACAGCCCCATCCATTCTGGCCTTGAACACTTCCAGGGATTGGACATCTACAACATCTCTGGGCAGCCTGTTCCAGGTCCTCACCACCCTTCCTGTAAAGAATTTCTCCCTAACATCTAGTTTAAATCTCCTCTTTTAGTTGAAAACCACTTCCCCCCTGTCCTATCACTATCTATTCTTGTAAAATGTCAGTCTCCCTCTTTTTCATAAGCTCCCTTTAAGGGCAGAAAGGCTGCACTGAGGTCTGCCAGGATGATGTTGGACTTCTGGGCTGCAAGCACACATTGCTGGCTCATGTCCAGCTTCTTGTCCACCAAAACCCCTAGGTACTTTTTGGCAGGGCTGCTCTCAATGAGTTCTTCTCGCAGTCTGCTTGTGTCTGGGATTGCCCCAACTGAGGTGCAACACCTTGCTCTTGTTCTTGCTGACTTACACTACATTTGCCTGGGCCCACTTCTTAAGCTTGTCCAGGTCCCTCTGAGTAACATCCTGCTCTTCTCAACTATTGTGTCAAACTGCACTGCTCAGGTTTGTGTCATCTGCAAACTTTCTTAGGGTGCACTTGATCTCATTGTTTTTGTCATTGATGAAGATACTGGAGAGCACCGGTCCTAGGACAGAGCCCTGAGGGACATCACTCAGCATTGGCCTACACCTGGAGATAGAGCCATTGACCATAACTCTGGCTGTGTCCATCCAACCAACTCCTTATCCACTGAATAGTCCACCCTTCACATCCATGTCTCTTCAATTTAGAGATTATGATGTCTTGATCGTGTCAAAGGCTTTACAGAAGTCTAAATAGATAACATCGGTGTCTTCTGTTGTTGACTGTTGCAGTCACTTCATCATACAAGGCCACCAGATTGGTCAGACACAATCTGCCCTTAGTGAAGCCGTAAATTTTATATTGCAGTGTCATGTATTTCAGCTAGATTCATCTGCGAAGAACCTGTATGCATTCAATTCCTGAAGAGGAAACAGCTCTTACAAATGAAATTACTCTTAATTTAAACATCATATGAATGGCTTGTAGGAAGAGAAGACAGGGCTTTGAATAGCTTTGTGTAACCAAACTATAAAAATGAAGAAACTTCTCTCTGTCTCCCTTTCTTAAAATAGGGTCATGTATGTCTGTTCTTTTCTGTTCTCCATTCTGTAGTCTTGTTTTGAGCTCTGTCAGCTGGACTTCAAATAACATGTATCTACAGTGTCACTTAAGCATTGATCCTGAAACTTAGCAGCTGTAAAGATAACTCTCTTCAACCTTTTTGTGGGGTCACCTATGCAGTCTACTCTTAAAGCCAGCAAAATATGTAAATTCAGTGAACAGTGGTATGACTTGGTCAAAGAGTCTCCATACATTTTTAGGACTGGTCACAGAGAGGTGAGGTCTCAGATGTCCAACATCTATAAGAGGCACCTGTACAATGTTTAATTCTGTTCAGAAGTGTGCTTGAAACTTTTCCAAGATCTTTTTGGTGGGAAAGTAATCTTAATTCAGAGCAAGTCTTTCCTCCTATTTTGTACTTTATCTTGCGTACTCTCATTAGGTATGGAATGAAATTGAGATGATTGTTGGACTGTGGTACTCTTGTTTTTATAGGGACAAAACATTTTGAATTTTTGAATGAGTTTAAATTTTGTTCCTATAAAAACAAGAGTACCACAGTCCAACAATCATCTC